GAATTCCCTCTCCCTCTCATGAACAATTGGACAGATGGAGATGACTGAGGGTTTGGAGATTTTTTTGTTTATTTGGGATTTTTTGTTTATTTGCCTGTTTTGGAGTTTGGGGTGGGTTTGGTTTGTCGGCTTTGGCTTGGCTTTTTGTTGTTTTTGGTGGTCTTTTTTTGGGGGAGGGGTGTTTTTTTTATTTCAAAAATTACAGACTATAACTGACAAAAAGGATCCAAGCAAAATAGATCTGAACAGATAGAGGTAAATGTTCCTAGGTACTACGTTTGTATTTCTGGCTCACGTGCACGGAATAATATTGATTGGCAGATTTTAGATTGGAAAGATTTTCTAAGGTCGAATTGCAAAAAAATTAGTTAAAAGATGGGTGAAGGTATCACTTTCACTAATTATGATCAATTAGGCATGTCCCATTTAATAAACTCTCCATCATTGCTGGGGCCTCATACATACTTGGCACTATAGCTTGTTCTTTCTGTTCTATGCCTGTGGCATGCAACTGTTACCCCTGAAGATATAAATTAACTACAGTCATCATGCCAAAAATATATGTGAATCATGTAAAACTGTATTATAGAGGAGATCAAACTAGGTGATCTTATGGTGCTTTCTTACCTTAGAGGAAATTACTTTTAGGAAATGAAGGCTCTATGCTGTTTCCATTGATCACAATATGAGTTTTGATACCAGTGCCAACAAAATTCCTATAAATTCAAAGCTAGCCTAGGCATATTCAAACACACCAGCTTTCCTGATAGTTGTGAGTTCAAAAGTCTCTTGAGAAGCTCAAATAACACACAACACTGCAGCCCACTGCATTACACGGGGTTTGCTGAAGGGGAAATAGAGATTTTTCTTGCAAATGACCTAAGTAATGTTAACTATTACACACTATTTATGCTGCTTTTATTTACATAACCAGCTACAAAATCACCGTTACTGCACTGTTACTGTACTTACTCCTTATGAAAGAGCCATAATTCTGATATCATGGTCCTTTCTCCAGAAAGATCCTACCCATCATGGCACCTTTTCTTCCCAGACTATATGTAACAGAAGATATTTGCAATCCAGTAGAATTCTGGCATATGGGATCAACATCCAAAGTCCCATTATTCCTCTTATTTTTTTATTTCCGTTTTGGATAAATGGCAACATTTTGACCAGTTCTATTTGACCACAGAATATGGACAAAACAGTGTGGTGTGTCAGTATGGTAATTACTGCAAATACACAGTAATTTCTGGATATGTATTAGACATCTCACTGCCGGCTGGCTTCAGCTTCACAAGTCAGCTGCCAGCTGACTTGAAAAGCTGGAGCAGCTACCAAGCTGCTTTTAAAGCAATTTCTGTGGCTACACTTGCAGCGATCCTACCAACAGCTGCTGCATGAGGAGTGGGAAGGGAAGGCCAATAACCAGTTGTTTTGGAGTAACTGTTCATGGCTCATTCAGAAAAAGGCCCTTTCCAGGCTCAGAAACAAGTTTTGTGTGGAAAAGGATTGTGTGGGAGACAGCAAACACCAGCATGTCTGAGGCATTTCATAGAATCACAAAATCATTTAGATTGGAAAGGACCTTTAAGATCATTGAGTTGAACCATCAACCTAGCATTGCCAGTAAAGCACTAAACCATGTCTCTAAGCACATCTACATGTCTTTTAGATATCTCCAGGGATGGTGACGCAACCATTTCCCTGGGCAGCCTGTTCCAATGCTTGACAGCCCTTTCAGTGAAGAAATTTTTCCTAATATCAAATCTAAACCTCCCATAGTGCAACTTGAGGCGATTTCCTCTCATCCTATTGCTTGTTACTTGAGAGAAAAGACTGCCACCCACCTCACTAAACCTCCTTTCAGGTAGTTGTAGAGAGCTATAAGGTCCCCCCTAAGCCTCCTTTTCTCCAGGCTAAACAGCCCCAGTTCCCTCAGCTGCTCCTCTTAAGACTTGTTCTCCAGACCCTTCAACAGCTTCACTGCCCTTCTTTGGACACACTCCAGCACCTCAGTGTCTCTCTCGTAGTGATGGGCCCAGAACTGAACACAGTATTCAAGGTGCAGCCTCATCAGTGCCAAGTGCAGGGGGATGATCACTGCCCTAGCCCTGCTGGCTACGCTGGTGCTGATACAGGCCAGGATGCTGTTGGTCTTCTTGGCGACCTGGACACAAGCTGGCTCATATTCAGCTGGCTGTCAACCAACACCCCCAGGTCCTTTTCCATCAACCAGCTTTCCAGCTACTCTTTCCCAAGCCTCTAGCATTGCATGGGGTCGTTGTGACCCAGGTGCAGGACCCAGCACTTTGCCTTGTTGAACCTCGTACAACTGGCCTCTGCCCATCAATCCAGCCTGTCCAGATCCATCTGCAGAGCCTTCCTATCCTTCAGCAGGTCAACACCCCCACCCAACTTGGTGTTCTCTGCAAAATTACTGATCACTCTAAGTTTTTCTACAAACTTATTTGCACTTGATCCTCTCATCCAGATCATCACAAAGGTATTTAACAGAATTGGCCCCAGACTTTGTATTGAAGAAGTTTTTTTCCTACTGTTGTCTCATTAAAATGTACAAGCCGTATCCCACAGCATGTTAACAGCATGCATGTTAGGAAGTATATTGGGCAGTTTTATATTAGGACTTTTTCTCTGGTACATATCATTCAAGGACTAAACATGAATTTAGGGGATGCCTGAAAATTCAAAGAGGTGGTAAAAACATCAGTAAGGAAAGAATCAAACCATGTTGTTAACCTGCAAAATCATTCCAAAATTTCTTGTATTTCACAACTGACGTGGTGCACATCTGCAGGACCGTATTATGGCTCTGAAGTTACAGGGCCAAATTGTTTTGCTGTTCATTCCAGAGTGAATGTCAACATTCGTCTTGTTTTGCAGCACCTTGCTGGGGACACTTTGTCAAACTTTATCAGTACATACTGTGTTAGTTCTCCCAAACCAGATCCTCTGTTTCCTAGTCACCTAGAATAGTACCCCATCCTCCATGAAAGGGCTACTTATAGAAAGATTCATCAAGCTATTAACCTCCCCACACTCTGGTCCTGTTTCTTCAGAAGTTTCATTTGCCAATTTTGTGTTGTAGCAAGAGGTACAACTCCTCTAGCTGGTGATAAACAAGTTACACTCACGACCCACCACCTAAATGCTCCAGAATAGCACACCAAAATGCTCAAAGGCAAAGGTGTGCAAGATGGAAATGGGCTTGACACAGGTACTGTTAAATAACAGGGCAGAAAAACAAGGGGTGAAGAAAGATCCTTGCTGTCATGGAAAGTTTAAAAAAGAGCAAGTGCCCACTATTTCCTGAACTTTCAAGGCCTGGCACTGAGCCCACATGTCTCCTAGGAGAAGGATTTTCACTGAAATCCTGGCCTTTAGGAAACCTGATGGGGAACATTAGAAAGACCAAAGAGGGTATGTTTTGAAAAACACCCAGCAATGCCACAGAGGTGAGCCCAAATGGGACGGATTTGTGTCTGGGAAGCTAGAAGAAGGCCCAAGGATAGATTAAAAAGGACTCACCATATCCTTGTTCATACTAATAACAAAAGCTGCCTGTCTTAGGGTTTGCCAACAAAGTGTTCCCAGTGCCCTTGACCTGAAACTCACTTTACTTTTGATATTTCCTAAGCAGCTGGCATTAAACAGTGGGTTTCTTTATCTGGGCTGTGATACTCTACTTTATCCTTTGTTGATTCTCATCAGCTTCATCACACTGTACAATGTTTGTGGATTAATGTAAACTCCATGAAGATTACTGATAGCACAAACCAGTTGAAATTACTTCAGCAGAAAATGTTTTAAATTATAGAAGGGTCTTTGTGAGGAATATTTTTGTGCTAAAGCACTATTTTAAAACTATTATTGTTAAAAATTCAAAGCTTTTTTGTTCATACAGTCCTTAATAGAAAAGGAGCTTTAGAATGTTTTCATTGTTGATAAGAAAATTGAAAGAACTCATTTATTTCTAAAAGAAAGAGATGTCTACTGAAACAGTAATATTGAAAATTTGGGGAGGGTGGGGGAACTTTGGTATTTTCTATGGAAATAATTTGGGTTTTTTTCAATCAGATGTTACAGATATAAAGAAAAAAAAAGTAAAATTTACTTCCTCTCCTTCCTTTCTTATAGCCACTCTTGTTTTCTGAAGATTGCCTCCTGCTCCACTCTGGACACACACCAACCTCCCACTCATCATGCACTAAAAAAGTCTCTTTCCTCATTCATCTCTTTCCTTAAGAGCAGCTTCTTTGTGAAAGCTTCCTGCATCATTTTTCTCCCTGTTGATGACTCTGGACCTTCTCACACTTGACCTATTGTTCAGCCTGTATTGTATCGATTTGAGTCAGGTTGTTAGGTCCATACCATAAAGGCCTCCAGCTCTGCTTTTGCCCCTCACAAACACAGGAAAGGGAATTATTGAATCTTAATCAGGAAAACTCAGCAAGGTTCCTCCTGAGGAGCTGCCTACAAAATGTCCTGGGGGAGACTCAATTCTCAATGGAGTTGAGGTCTCTCTGCCCTGCAGGTTCAAGCACTCTTTTAGTGAAGTTAGGACAAAGTCATGACGGCAAAAGCTATGCTGCAGACATCATTACAACACCCAGCACTACTAAAACTTTTCCACAGCCTGACAGCATAGCTGCAGAAAGAATTTGGCTGCTGATGATTGATTTTTTCTTGTGCTTCCTCTATAGAAAGCATGGTGAGATACTAAGGCCATTTATAGCACTGGAAATAGCTATTTGTTTAAATTGTATATGTGCTTAAGTCATTTGCTGCCTCTTTGCTATTTAAGCTATTCCAAATCCCCTGGTGCATGCTGTATTTATATAGGTGTAGGAACAATCATCTTCCAATGGGTTAGGCATAGAGTATTAGATACAAAAATAAAGATCACAATGAAAAGTTTAAAACACAATTATTTGGTTCACAAAAACATGATCTACTTTTCCTGCAAGTACAAACTGTTAACACATTTTTCATTTTAATGTATGTTGCACATAACCAAAATCATAAAATTAACACATCCATATACACAAATGTTAATATAGTGTTTTCAGCAAACTGCATCTCAGACATTTCTCAGCATCATTGGGTCTCTGATGACACATCTATAGCCCGGATTTATTTTTTTTTCTAATGGAGTTTGATGAATGCTCTGTCAGGAATGGGTGGGATAGGCAGTACAGTTTTGCCTTAACCATTTTATTCAACAGAAAACATTTTGATAATAGAAAATAATAAAACATAAGGGCCATTGCAGCTGAACCTTTTTTTAGGGACTGCCTAATGGCCAGAGTTTAGAGTGTTTTCTCCTCCTGTATGCAGTTTTTGATAGACTTTCTTAATTTTTTATTTTTTTATTTTTTTTAGCGCTCATTGGTTTTTACACAACAGAATATTTTGTTTAATAATCCTAGAAATAAGGTGTCATTCTACTCTGAATCACAGGAGGGTGGATATATGCCATCTTCATCTCAGAGCTCTTGCTTAAGTGATTTACTTCTCCCTGAGGAAGAACCATGAACCGGTCAGGATTTAAGGCATAAAAAGCATAAATGCCATGATACAAAATCTGTAGAATTTCATCTAATTTCTCAGTCATTTCCTTGGTGAGTAAACCTCTTAGTGTGCAGATGTCTGAAAAAACAGGGCTTTGAGGACTAGCAGGGCTGCCTTGTCCCTCACGTTGGTCATGAACCTTCAAGGTACCAAGATACCTCTGCTGAGAATGACCACGCTTGGCTGAGTCCACCCAAAATTACACAATCGGACTCAAAATAAGGATCAGGCTCATTATTTTCTCTAAAATTAGTAATTTTTCAATTGACATTTGTCCACAGAGGCTCGACACAGAAAGGATTGACATGATTTATCACCAATATAAAAAACAAAGAAATGAACCAGAACTAAACAAATAAACTATCAGAAGAGAGTTGTCTCTTCTGACATCAGTATTCATTAGGTACATTAGGTATAGAAAAACATAATTTCCATAGTATAACTTCCACTGTAGTTCTTAATAGATGAAGATTAGAGAAATTAAGTGAATTGTAGCAACCTGTTTATTCAGGTATGAAACATCAGAGGCTTTGTTCATGTGGGGAGTTCCAGCTGGAGAGTTATCTGTGAGTAACAACATCCAGTTTCGCACTTGTGTGAAGCAGGCACGTTATAGATATGGCACTCACAGGGAAGCTCTCCTCAGCCAAAGGCTATTGAAACCATTAGTGAAGGCCTGAGCTGCACAAACTGCACCAACAGAAAGTTTTAGGTCATATTTGGGCAAAGGCACCTTTTAGGAGGCTAGAAAATCCAGCATGCTGGCTGGCTTGGCTGCTGGGTTCCTCCTGCTCCATCATACTCCATGGGGACAATTTCCTCTCCAACTGTTAAAAATACCACTTCTGGTGTTTGTATCCTATTTTGTCTCTGAACCAAAGGCCAGGGGGAGGACATAATACCCCAATGGGTCACAGAGTTCAGCGAAAATCCTACAAGCTTTTCCTGAACAAATAACAGACAGTGACCTCTGGACCTGCCTTTGCATAAGAATTGACATCAGTATTCAGGAGTTACCGCTGTGACTGGGGACAGCCACGCAAATGCCAGATTCTGATTTAAAACTCAAATTTTTTTTTAACTTTTTTTTTTTTAATATTTTTTTTAAGAACCCAGAAGAAAAGGAGGGCCTTGCAGCTCATCTGCATTACAGATCAGGCCTCTTTGAGAAAATCAACCATCCATAATTCATTACATGTTTCCTGCAGGGCCTGGAGACGGCCGAGGCCCTAGCAACGGAGTCATAGCAACAGCACCCGGACACAACCAATCGGCGGACACCTTCCCGACGCCGCTTAGCCAATCCGGCGTTGCGATAGAGACCGCGGCGATGGCGGCGCTAGCGGGCGCGCAGTCGGCCGCCGGCCCCCGCGGGGCGGTGCCGTTAACGGCTGATGCCGCCGTGAGGGGGGTGGGCGCAGGAGGGCTACGCGGGAGAGGCGGCTGGGCTTGGTTTGGGGGCATTCGGTGCTGTTGAAAGTCTGTCAGGCCAAACCTCAATAGTGTATGTAGACGCTAAAAGGCCTGGTGGTTCTTGGTCATAAGGCAGTGGAATAGTGATTTTTTATTTTGTGACAGATAAGCGTACCTATTTTAAAACACTTGGACCTTGAGGAGGACTTTTCTGAGGAAAAAAGCCTTGTATTTGCCTGGCACAAAACCTAGGTAAATCTCTTTTTCCAATAAAGATTGTTACCTGCAAATAGCTGTATAATTCGAAAAACTTTATGTGCAGCTGGGCTTTTTGTGAAGGAGAAATACTCTGCAACAACTCGTTGTAACACTGTAAATAAGAGATCACATTTTAAAGAATGAACTTAAAAATCAGGTATCTTTTCCTCAGTTGCACCCTGCAAAAGTAATTGCCATTTGTGATTTTGCCTTTCCATGCCAATAGCGTCTTACCTCGCATGACACGCGCATTGTTCTCAAATGACATACGGGAGAACAAAGCAAAAATGCAGCAAGTGTGGAAACAGAATAGTTGTGAAAACAACCACAAAAATCTGCTATAGTAGAAGCTGTACTTGGAAAAAAGGTGCAGAAAGCATTGGAGCTTCCCCACGCGCAATTCCTTTGTGAAGTTTTGTTAACCCTCATGAAGTTGTAGTGCTGCTACAAACACAAAAATGTGTAGTTTCCTTTCTTTGAGGGGGAGGAAAGGTACTGAGCTTTGTTTGGATTAAGTAAGAAGCCAGAAAAGCACGTTGATAACTAAAGGCACACTTTGGTGGCTTACTGGAGCCATCATGCTCTGTCAAATAGCATCATTTTCCTCAGAAATGCATAACCGAAAACTTGCTTTTGCAATTTTTGTATTTAACGTACATTTTAAAACAAATACTTGATGTCCATATGTATGTGGGTACAGAGGTCCATAAATCCTAGTATAAAACTGTATCTTTTATCTTTTATCTTTGCGGAAAATGAAAAGCATTTATCCGCACCTGAACATTATACTTGAAGCCAAGATACTGTGGGTTATCTAAGTAAGCGTTTCACCCTTCACCCTAAAAGCTGATCCCAAATTCCACTGTAATGCATATGTTGCTCAGATAGTGAAAGCAGAGATAAGAAGATTTGCTATGGATGCTGCAAAGTACATTTTGGGACCCAGTGCCCCATATTGAACTTTAACAGATGATGCATAAATTGACTAAAGCCATGGAGGCTGGCAGGGGAAGATTGAAAAATATGTTCCAATCTCCCCTCATACATTTTATAAAATGCTGCAAATGCCCTGCTTCATCAAGGCCATGCCTTCTGAGATTCCACAGATGAAAAAGCACCATATAATAACTTTCTTGACTTGACAAATGGCTGAGAACTCCACTGTATCATTTATTTCTTTCAACAAATTAGTAAGACTAATTACTGCGTTTTCTTTTTAGAAGAGGCAATTTTTTGATTGTTTTAAGAGTAGCCATGTTAAGATTTTAACAGCAGTATTTTGCAGTAGTTAAACCTGAAACCAAAATGTTTATTTTACCTTAAGAAAAAAAAAAACAAAAGAAAACAAAACAGGGAATTGGTGAAAATTAATCCAAAAGCATAATCACCATAAATTAAAATTTGTATTTTTTTCTTGCCAAGAAAGATCAATTTATCAATTTCATATTCTGCTTGCAATTAGACACAAATGAAGATTTGAATGTCAGGCCTGTGGCTGTTCATTAAAATCCTTTCATGAACCCTGTGGTCTGCATAGTTAAAAATAAGAAATTGCATTCCAAGGTGGTTAAGTTGTCCCATACTTTTATCCTTAACTTTGACAGTTTCCACGCAGGGCTGGAGGCCGCTCGTTCTGAAAGGCACAGCTCTTGCTAATGAACTGTTACAATCACACAACTTAAGCTAATGAATTTCTTATTCTCTTATGCAGATAAAAGTTTCTTTTACAAGTAGAAAGATCTCTGCTTTTTAAGTGGATTTGTACTTCACATTTGGGGAAGGAGGGGAGGAAAGGATACTCCAGTGACTGAAATTCATTGTGTTCATCTGCATTACTGTGTAGCAATAAACAAATCATCGCAGGAAGTGTGTAATGCTCCAAGGCAGAGCCACAGATCCAAGATCAAGGGTGGCACTACGAGGTCACACTTGAGTGAAACAAGCAAGTCTGAGAGGAAGAGCGGATCCTGTCCCTCTTCATATCCTGGAATGACTGGGCATGCACAGAAAGGCTTGGTGCTGTGCAGATGACCAGCATCCCACCAATGTGCAGCCCAGTGTGTAGAACAGTATGTCACTTCTATTTGCAAATTGCTTGTTTAAGGGGGAGTTATCCAGAGCACTGACGAATGGCTCCAGTCTGGAACTTGAGAGCACTGAAGTGCTGTGGAACACCAGTGTTGTGTACTTGCATGGGGATCTCAAGGCATTTTGCAGCCATTTACCACCCAAGCCTCACAGCATCACAGAGATATATTTTACCTAGGGAATAAACCTGAAGTTCTTCCACATGTCTTCTATGGAAACAATGTGTTCTCTCAAGAGCTGAATAGGAAATTCTGGACTCATTTTTAGTGTGCTAAAGTGTGGAGACTGCAATCGCAGTACCAGGAGTCAACATCTGCCATAAGAGAAGTCATTCTGGCTTTGTAGAGGAAGTGGGGAGGAGGAGAAAAGAAAGAAGTCTGAACTAGAATATGTTCTCCTGTAAGCAGTCTTGGAGTGTGTCAAAAGGAGCTTTGAATCTTGCCAAGGAGTTCATGAAGAAGTTCTGGGTACATGATGATTTGTGTTGCCAAATTAGTTTCGCTATTCAGTCAGTCTTATGAGTACATAAAAAGCCTGCACATCTTTTTTGAGCAGCTTGCTGTTCTCGTCATTTAAAATAGTTAAGGCTGAAATTGTAGGATGCCTTGACAATGTACAAGTGTGTTTTCTTCTTTAATCCTGGGGCCAAATTCTTGTCCTAAAGTAAGCAGCTGCACAGTGCTTATTTCCCTTGGTTCTGCTTTGGAGGTGGCAAAGACGAGCTCATCAACTTCAGAGGGAACTGCAGACCCCTATCTCTGAACAAAAGTTAGCCTCCAGACTTGAAAGAATCAGATCACCTGTGAAAAGGAAGCTCTTGACAAAAACTTTTAATTCTACATTAACTCCTTAAAGATCTTCCCAGAGACTAATGTAAAGATGGAAACCTGGTTTTGGTGTGACCCAAAGAGCATGAAATTCAACCAGAACACTTGCATTAGTTTGAAGGGTTCAGATCAAGCCCTGAGGGAGTTACCTGCAACAACCCAAACCTCAAAACAACAAGCAGGATAGGTGTTTTTAGTTATTGTTTTCTGTCTGGTGACACGGAAACAAGATTTTCTGGTATATTTCTTATAAGCTTTGCTTTCTTACAGTTCTTCACAGGAGATTAGCATTTTCCCTAAATTTAGGGATGATGTGTACCCAAGGGTCAATAGAAATTTTGCAGTGGATTTGCAGCTGCTCTGGGCAGTGTTACGAAAACCTCCAAATGGCTCAAAACCTTTACTTCAGCATTTCACTTTTATTTGGATTGTAAAGCTTTGCTTAGCTAATTCTGCTATGCCCCAGCAGCCTGAAAAATCCTCAGAAAAAAAAAAAACCTAGGAACTGCCTTTTTTCCATTGTCTCTGTCAGAAAGGGGTCCAGGTAGTGACTTGTGAGTTCTCTCTGTACAAAGCAGAGAGAGGGAAAAAGAACTAATCTCCCCTGCCCCCCATGTGTGAGAGAAAGCAGGCATGCAGGAGAGTGTGGTCATCCGCAGCGAGAGCAGGGCTGCGGCAGGGGATGACCTCTGGCTGCATATCCACCACAAAGAGACCATGGCATTGACACAGCCTAACTGCACTCCTTCAGAGGGGACAGATTGAGGGGAAGTGACCCTTGGTGCCCCCCTTCTGCAGGGGACCTTGTGAAATAACTGTTGCTCTTCTCTTCCTTCCTCCCTCAGGCAGGTCAAAGAAATTAACAATGAGAAATCTCCCTTTTACTTGGTCATTTGGAGAGCAAGAAAACAAAGAGACTTTTTGCTTGAAAGGGATGAGAAGGAAGTGTAGAACCTTGACTATTTACTTCACTCTTGGGAAATGCACTGTGGTTCCAAAACCAGTCCAAGGGTTCGTGAATGGCAAAGCAGTGGGCATCAGCAGCAGGAGCTCTGGGTGAGGCTGGGTGAGTCTATCTGGGTTTGTCTTCTAAGAGAACTTACAAAATGATCCCTGCAGCTCCATTCCCAAGAACCAGGAACATCAAGAGATTAAGAGCTGTTCCACCCCACTCCCTAATGGCATCTGGTAAATCACTAGTAAAATGCAGTTCTGGGAGGAGAAGGATCCTGGGGGCTGTGGGAAGGAGAAGGCTGCTTTGAGGAACAGAAAAGGAAGCAGAAACAGTGAGGCCCACCTCACAGCTGTGTGAGCAATGTCTGCCCATCCCCACTGAAGTTCACAAAGTGCCAAACCTTGAACCCAAGGCCAGGCCTGAGTAAGTCTGAGCATCAAGGGAAACATTTCAGGCATAACCCTGGTTCACATCTCTGAGCTGTTGAGGGCAGTAGGTAAAGCACACAGACTCCGTCTCTTCCTCTTCAAAGGAGTTTTAAATGTCTCTCAGATGCACTTGGTGTGAGTTGGGGCAGGAGGGAATGACCTTTGGATTCTCCCTCCAGAGGGAACCTGAGAAAATGACCTTTTGGCCCTTAGCTCTGCGGGTGCTCGGTAGAGGTCAGGAGGAATGATTCTTCGTCCAGTCTTGCTCTCCACAGGGGCTGGGGAGGAAGAGAAAGAACTCCAGGAATATGTGATCACGGGAATTTTTGTCTTCCTCTGAAAAAGGGGCATGTTTAC